GCGCGAGCCTGCCCGCTGCCGCCGCCCAGCGCTGCTGCACTTACTTCTCGTCCACATGCAAGCTGGGCGAGCACTTGATGGCGAGCCATGTTTTCCAGTGGATGTGGCGGACTTTGTAAACCTGCCCGAACCCGCCGGAGCCGATCTTCTCCCAGCTCACGAACTCGCTCGAGTCGAAGGTTTTCAGCAGCCCCATGGCCAGCGAGGAGCGGCTCTCCTTCTCCATGGGCCCCCCCGGGGTCCTTCCTCCCCAGCGTGACAGCTCGCCCGCCCGCCCGTCGCGCTCCGTCCGGCTCTCCCGAGGGACTGCGCCCGCCGCCGCCCGGGCTCGCGCTGCTGTCTATTCCCCAGGTGACTCAAGGTGCGCTCATTCGCCAGGCCGTGACGTCACTTCCTGGGCTCCCCGCTCCGGCGGGAGCGTCACCCGCGCAGTCCTGCTCGGGGAGGAAAGGGCGGCTGCGGGGCGGGGGTTGGGGCGGCCCAGCGCTTGCAAAACTGCCCTCTGGGGGAGAAGGAGCCACGCTTTTTTTTAACCCCCCCCCCCCCCGTGCAGTTAGGCGGTGGAAGGCACCCTGAGGTCGCGTGGGTTCCAGATATGTTTACTGCTGTCATATTCTTAATATCAAAGGAGAGCAGAGAAATACATCTGAAGGCCTTTAAATCGTAGGGCTATCAGCCACAGTTTCAGGTCTATAGAGCCTGTGTCCCGAGCACACTCCTGTACTGCAGTGAGACCTGGACCCTTCATGCGCAGCAGGAGAGGAAGCTGAACACCTTCCATATGGGTTGCCTCTGATGGATTTTTGATAACACCTGGCAGAATAAAGTTCCCAATCAAGTAGTCCTAGAACGAGCTGGAATTTCTAGCATGTATACATTACTGAAACAGTGACGTCTGCGTTGGCTTGGGCATGTCATGAGAATGGCTGACAGTCAGATTCCAAAGGATCTCCTGTATGGAGAATCAGTGCAGGGAAATCGCCCCAGAGGGAGACCACAGCTGCGATAGAAGGATATCTGCAAGCGAGATCTGAAGGCCTTAGGACTGAACCTCAACAGATGGGAATCCCTGACATCTGAGTGTTTAGCCTGGAGGCAGGCGGTGCATCATGGCCTCTCCCAATTTGAAAAGACCCTTGTCCAGCAGGCCAAGGCAAAGACAAAGTCACAAAAGCAGCAAAATCAGGGATCTGGACAGGGGACAGTTTGGATTTGTCTTCAGTATGAAAGGGATTGTCACTCTCGAATCGGCTTCCTCAGCCCCACTAACCACTGTTCCAAGTGCTCCATACAGAGCACGTTACCATAGTCTTTCGGGACTGAAGGATGCTTAACTAACTATCAGACACAGTCCCAAAAGTCACCCGTGTCAAGATGTGTGGAACAAAAGCAGAACAAAAACAGAAAGAAAAGGATTCTGGACCTTAAAGATTAATTTAGTTTAGTCTTAGCCATTTCACAAGGTGAATGGGGTGAAACACTGTAGTGTTGGTCGCATAATTTGAGCTGAAACACTAAAATAGCTACCTCTGCAAAAATGACTGCAATGTAAAGGTGAACATATTTACTACCCCCATGTTCTACTGTCTGAGAAGGGATCCCTTCGCTACAACATTTCATCTCTCAGGGCCGCAGTTAGGGTACACTGGGATTGTGCATGAAAGGGATTGTCACTCTCGAATTGGGTTCCTTGGCCACACTAGACGCTGTTCCAAGTCCTCCATACAGAGCACGTTACCATAGTCTTTCGAGACTGAAGGATGCTTAACTAACTATCAGACACAGTCTCAAAAGTCACCCGTGTCAAGATGTGTGGAACAAAAGCAGAACAAAAACAGAAAGAAAAGGATTCTGGACCTTAAAGATTAATTTAGTTTAGTCTTAGCCATTTCACCAGGTGCATGGGGTGAAACACTGTATTGTTGGTCACATAATTTGAGCTAAAACACTAAAACGGCTACCTCTGCAAAAAGGACTGCAATGTAAAGATGAACATATTTACCCCCATGTTCTACTCTCTGCCCTCACTGGGATCCCTTCGCTACAATGTTTCATCTCTCAGAGCCGCAGTTAGGGTACACTGGGATTGTGCATGTGTATGTATATATGTTCATACAAGAACACACACAAACCTGGATTCTCAGTTTACACACACACACCCAGCATACAAAGTGCTGCTTGATTCTACACAGGTCTCCTCGGAAATAAGCCCCAGGCAGCAACTTCCAGGCAGGCAAAACACAGCTCAAGTCCATGCATGTCTGCTTCCAAGTAACTCCCTCATTGGAGCAGCATATAAAGCACAACTCCACTCTGTTAGAGTTCAAATGCCTTTAAATGTCTCTTACCTCTAATTACAGGTCAAAGATAAGAATGACTTTCCCTATTGGTCCCTTTCTCTCTATACCCTTTGGGCTGAACGATGTTAATCTGGACTGCTGTAGCATCAGTCTTTTTTATACAGCCAAATTGATTACCTGGACAGTGAGGAAACATGAGAAGGTGGTGTGGATCTCCCATAACTCTGTTGTGGAAGAAAGGCTGTGCTATTCTGTAGCCCCTGCTGAAAGCAGCGGGCTTTTTGCATCCAGTCTAACCAAATAGTCTTCCTAATGCCTCTGTTTCATCCTAAGCTATTATCAGTTAACGGAAAACATTCGTCTTGCGAAGCACGGCCATAGGAACATTTGTCTTGTGAGTCATCAGCCCCATTGCCAAAACCATTTGTCTTGCGAGTTTTTTTTTCCCCTGTGAAGCATTTGTCTTGCGAGGAACCACTGTATTCTGTACCTAAAAACCCGAGAAAGGGTCACCATAAGTCAGAACTAATTTGATGGCAGTTATTATTTGCTTAATATCCTACCTGACCACATATTTTGTGTACATGCAAGCTTGTTCATTTTTGGTAACTTTCTAGCTGGCCCTTATAAAGGTATTGTGCTAATCAGTGAGGCAAAGTTCTCAGAGGACACATCAGCTGTCCCAGCATGTGTGTAATCACTGGACTCTATACTAAGGTAATACGTATATGTCACCATGAGCCAGTAATGTCTTTTCCCCAATTTATGCGGAGCAAATCAGATTGTCTCCAGATGCGATGGAATGAAAAGGCATCAGACTTTAAAATGATATTTAGAATCTACTGTAGTAGGGATTACCGGTATTTCTCAAATTACCATGGTATAAGTGGGTGTTGTGATAATTTGCTCAAAAAATGGTTTCAAAGAAAGACTGAAATCATGACAATGCTGCATTGGAACACATTGGTGTGTTTGATGCAGCCAAACCAAAGGTCAGTACTAACTGAAGACAGTAACAGGTGACTCAGTGGTGGCCGTGGGATAGAGAGTCTTCCACCCCCACCCCTTAAGACAGCAAACTAGCTCAAGTGCAGGCTGTACAATATCTACAATGGTGCTCTCTGGGGTGGCCAGCTTCCTTCGTTGCCACCAGCAGCTGCCTTTCTAGCAGGCTTCAGCCGAGGGAGATTATTCTGTCAGATCTGTTGAAAGACTTTTTTTGCTTTTCACTCCTCCCCCCCACAATGGCTTTCCTCCCCATCCCCTTTTTCTTCCACGCCTCACCATTTTAGAGGGCAAGCCAGTAATGGGAGACCCTCACAATCTATTAAAACAAGGTAAGGCCAACTTTTTATGTTCTCTTCTTGCATTGTCTGAGGGTCTGCAGCGTAAAACACATCCATTCACCTCAAAGTGGTATAAAAACTGCCCTTTTGCAGGTTTTGACCTGTTTAGGCAGATCACAAACACTCTTAAAACAGAACAACCAGAAAGGTAAGACAAATGGCTTTTGTGGTTACAATAGATTTATTGTTCCCTCAAGGTTAATGGTTCTGGTGGGGTTTTAAAAATTACAAGGTACCAGTTACAAAGATACAAAATGGGGGGAGAAGGAGAGATCATGATTTCTGGGGTCCTGGTATAACCTGGACAAAAATAGCATAGCTTCTAATGGTATATTTAGCATTACATCTAGTTTAGACCTAAGCTCTCAGCCAGGCTTGTGTTGGGATCTAGAAATGTTCCACCCTCATTCAGCCCAGTAAGGTGCTTCAGATTTCTACGGGCTATGGTTTTGTTTGTTTGTTTTTAAAGTAGACATTTTATAGGCTTCTTGAGTTGCTTTGATTTTATATCTTCCTTCTACTAGCTAATCTACCTGTAGATTTTACACAGCAGAGAAGAAAATCCCTTTTATTTTAAAAAGCCTGACTCACCATGAATTTGCATATGACTTCTCTTGCTGAGAAAGTGTTTGTCACCATTCTGGCGAACAAATAATTGTTCTGAAATGTACATGTGACACAACAGGAAAAGTTCTTCATCACCCAATTTTCCTATTGGCAAAGACCTTTCTCTTCAGGCAAGCTTTCCCCTGACTGAATGGATGCTGAATGGAGTTTTTAAAATAGACCGTTATACCTTATTGCGTTGAATGTGTTTTGTTGTTGCTTATGTTTTTTGGTATTGTACCCATTGATCCTTTTAGTATTGTATACTCATTGTTAGAAACTTGAATACTGTCTTTTTATTGGGTCCTCTTAAAGGACAAAGGTGGGTAAGAATGAATTAATGAATGAGTGAGTGAGTGAGTGAATGAATGAATGAATGAATGAATGAATGAATGAATGAATGAAGCTCTACCATTTTGGAAACATTTCTAATTTTAATTCTGCTGCCAATTATGTTTTAAAAGGATTGCTTTACATGGGTTTTTTTTTTCATTTGCAGCAAATTCATTTAATCTCAGAAATATACATATATTTAAATTTATAAATGTTTTAAGGTTCTGTTTTCAAGTTTCAATTGACAGAATATATATATTCAAGCATTTCTAGTAATTTAAAATAGGGATATATAAAGAGTGGTCAAAAATAAAATACTAAAATAAAATCATGTCCTTAGTATATGTGTCATGTGCCATCAAATCAGAACTGATTTACAGTAACCGAAATAGTGCTTTCAATTTAAATGAAATATTTAAGGGGTGGCTTTACCAGTTCCATTCACAGTGAGTTTCTGTGGCCAAGTAGGAATTCAAACAAAGCTTTCCTGAGTCCTAGTCCATCACTCTGTCCACTATGCCGCACTGGGTATCGCAATATTACTTTTATTAGACCAATACAAAGTCCTTTTCCAAAATAATCTTTCATTTTAATGATAAAGGACTGGTTAGTTCATTTCAACCAAGATAGAAAACCTGTAATTTTCCTGTGAAGCCAAATATTGGGAGTTCAATTTCCCACTGTTCCTTCCAGGAGAAGAGTCAGCCTATCCTTTGGCAATTCCAGAATACCACCAGAAGGAGGAAACGG